TCTCTCTCTCTCTCTCTCTCTCTCTCTCTTTCACACATACACACACAGAGCTGGTCCACAATACCAGCTATCACTGGTCAGTCCCTAGCACTTATTACAGACTGAGGATTTTAACATTTGTATATTTTTAGGTTACCACCAACACTTCAATCACTTTCAAATCTGTATCACCAGCTCTAACCTCTCAGCTTTGTGATTGTATTACATCTCTTCATTTTTTTCCTCTTGAAAAACATCATCTGGTATCTTCTGAATCTAGCTAAAATTTCAGAAATGAAAAAGAAAAGAATTCATTATTGTCCCCTTTAAGCTCTTGCCCCAAAACATTTCCTACAGTTTGCCCTCCACATTCACATATACACAAGTACAAACACACAATGGCAACACTACATACACATACACACAGGTACAGACACACAGTGGCAACACTACATACACATACACACAGGTACAAACACACAATGGCAACACTACATACACATACACACAGGTACAGACACACAGTGACAACACTACCAATCCAGCCACAGCCTTGTCTCCACCCCTGTCCAAGCAGGAAGCAAACACTCCTTGTCAAACCCGTAGTAAAAGGAGATCCATAAAAAGAAGATCCTACTGGTTTCTCAGTAAGGGCGCTGAGGGATAACTCCATTCTCAAAACAATTTAATGTACAGCTCTGATCCTCTTTTGCTTCCATGATATTAGGACAAAGAATTGAGAGGAAGCCAGTGGCAGAGGTAGACATTTCTGCTTCTGTTCTAAGGTTCCCAGGTGTGACAGGGACTCACAGGCACCTGCTTTGCATTACTAGAATGTAACCAGGCATATCGGGACCTGGTGTACATTCATTAGTTGAAACTAGTAACATCTGAATACAATCTAAAGGAACTGTGACCATTACTCTGTCAAATAAAATTAAAATGGCCTCTACCCTCCCCCAACCCCTTTCCATTTCCAGACAGTCACTGTGTAACAACATGGAGACAATTCTTACTTTCCCAGGAGAATCCCTCTTTATTTATTTCTTTATTTATTTAAACATATCTTTATTGATTTCAGAGAGAGGAAAGGAGGGGGAGAGAGAGAGATAGAAAGATCAATGATGAGAGAGTCACTGATCTGCTGCCTGGCCTGCAAGCTGGGCATGTGCCCTGACTGGGAATCGAACCCCAGTCTCCTGAATCCTAGGTCGATGCTCAACCGCTGAGCCACGCCCGGCTGGGCAAGAATCCCTCTTTAGAAGGCCTGTTTGGTCACAAAAATGTTCTGACAGGCCACGTGGGGTTGTGAGTTTGACCACAAGGAACATGCCTGAGTAAGAAGCTAAATGAATTTCAGAGTGGCACGGTGATGGCTGTCTACCAAGCTTGTGTTCTGCTGAGTAGAGTATGTAAGCTAAAGCCAGAGCTGAAAGGGTCAGGCTCCACCCACAGGACATACCTTCTTGTTCCAACTGGACCAAGTAGAAGGCCACAGGCCAGAAAAGGAGAACCATCATGGTTATGCTGCAGAGATGCAGGTGGGGAGCAAAGACCTGGGAGAAAGCCAAATGTCAGGCTGACCACGCTGGACAAACAGTGCTAGACCTACAGGGTGATGCTTACCTTCAGTGACAGCCTCAATGTCAGCCACCTCTCCTCCCAGTAAATATTTAAAAGTAACAAAACAATGGAGCATATCCCAATCACTAGCACAATCAGGATCTGGGGAAACAAACAAACAAACAAACAAAAATCTCCTGACTTCCAGGCACTAGGCTTGGATCAGAACTGTCCTTGGGAATCTTAGGTGTGTCCCCAAGATGTCAGGGACCTCCTTTCCTCATCCTTTTAATCTGACTATCCTGCAAATCCCCAGTATTGGATGGAGCCAATCGTTTACCTTCTTTGCTCCCAAGTCTTTGTTGTGTAGCACGGCTGGAAACAAATTACACAGCTACGTGGTCTGATGCCTTTACTAATTATCATCTCCATCCTCAGCTGGGCCCTCAGCACTGCCTGGCATCTCTCACTCAGTCTCAACAATGGCCACTAGAGATATTCACTACTTTTTTTATTCAACTCAATGCAGTCACAAATAAATAATATTTTGGAATCCCCTTTTCAATGTATGTTTTCCCCAACAGACTGTACACTTCATGAGATTAGTAAAAGATTTATGATTATATTCTCCCTGCCTTGCACATAGTAAGCATTCAATAAATACTTTTTGAATACATGAAAAGAATCTGCCTGCCAGAACATGATATACTTCATAGAGAAAAAACATTGAGATAAAGTAACATAACTTTAACTTCTTCCCCTTGAAATGTTGTCTTTCTACATCTGTCCTGCTTTCTAGAGAACACTCAGTTCCTTCCATTCCATAATCTCTATATTTGTTAAAGTAATTATATCCATAATTGAACCATCTAACAAAATAACTTCAGGTCTTGCTGGCATGAATGCTTAATTTTACCAAACATTTAAGGAAGAAATATTTTCCAATCTTTAACAAACTCTTCCAGAAAATAGAAAAAAAGGTAACACTTTCTAACTTCTCTTATGAAGCCAACAAAACATTAATACCCAAAATCTACAAGGACATTACAAGAAAGAAAAAGTATAGTCATGTGCCAGTATAATGTTTCAGTCAGCAACAAACCACATAAGTGATGGTAGTCCAATAAGATTAAAATGGAGGCAAAAATTTTCTACATTTTAGCTGTGGTAACATCATTGCACAAGGGTTTATACTGATGCTGGTGAAAACAAACCCACTGCAATACCAGTTTTTTTGAAAGTACAGTACCTCTTCTATGATTATATAGATAGATACACAAATACTTACCAATGTGTTGTAACTGCCTACAGTATTCAGTACAGTAACTTCCTGTACAGGTTTGTGGTTGAGGAACAATATGCTATACCACACAGCCTCTGTGTATAATCTGCTATACCATTTGGGGTTAAGTACGCTCTCTGTTGTTCACGCAGTGACAAAATTGCCTAAGCACACATTTCTCAGCATCTATCGCTGTCATTCAGCAACACATGAATGTATAGGCCAATTTCTCCTATGCGACATGCAAAAAATCTTAAGTTTCCCATTAATGCATCACAATTAAATGCATCATGACACAATGGTTTAACTATCAAATCAGACACACAAGTCTCATGGGATTCGGTGACCTTACTCAACACCAACCTTAACCAGTGATTTAAAGAATACAGGCAATTATAAGGTAAGGATTAAACAGTTTCCTTTGGAGAAATCTGATCCTGCCAAATGCAGATACTCATCAAAAGTTCTTTTCTCTCCTGTACTAGAATACATTCTGGTCTTGGACTTAAAATGTGTGGTGTGTTTTGGGAAAAGTATGTGGAAACACTGCTTCACAGAAGGAGCCTTTGTGGTTATGGAGCATCATATCTTACACACTCCAGCCAGCCATGTCTCCAACCCTAAAAATCTATAAATTCCAGGTTACTTTACAATAAGCAACCCAGGTATACCAGGTTATATACCCTGCTAGAAATTTTCATAGATAAGGACTCTCCCTATCTTTGGCTAATAAACATCTTTTTATGTGTTTCCCAAGAGGCAGGGTTATCAGCATGTTTACAAGGAGTTTTGATTGAGGTCATTCATTCCTCCTTGAGCATCCCTAGGTAGAAGGGGAATGGGTTACAGGACTGGGGATAGCCGTTTCCTTCCAGGTTTATTCTGAGTACACTAAAACCAAAACTCCAAGCCAACAGATTCTCCATTGCCAATAGAAACAGTCTCTCCTCCCAAATTTTATAAATCTAGTCCTCATGGGTTGAAGGCCTAACCAAGATAGTTATTTCCAAGGAAATGCCGACCCTTCTCAAACCCCACCTCACTCTCTCCTCGTTGCCTGCAGACTCAAACCTGGGATAAGATCCTAGAATGCCTCAAGAGATAAAGACTTTGTTAATTTATATTGACAAAAATCCTACAGAATATGTATGAGAATGAATCCCAAGGGTGCTAGGCAAAGAGAGAAAATACAATTTTAGGTCAAACTAGAAGTAATGATATGTGTATACCTACTATAGCTTCTGAATACACTTTACCAAAATCCCAGTATTATGCATCTCAAATTGGTTCTAATTGTTTCTTTAGTTGTCTAAACCTTGGCTCAAAAGTGGCCTATACTTAATGAAATTGGGATGCTAACAATTTCTTGGTGTAATATAGAAGAGTCCGAAGATTTAATGAGAAAAGTTTGCTGGAATGCTATCACCCATGATAAGCTAACCCACTCCTTTATCATGTTCTATGGGAGATCTCAGAGGACACTGAAAAATACACTGGTGAGGAAGGTGTCAGCATCCATGAAAAGAACTGCAGTGGCTCTCCTCTATGCCTGAATATTGGTGAGAGATGCTGCCACTGAAATTGGCTTCCTGATTTCAAAGGCAATGATGAGATCCTACCTGTGGCAGAGGCCATGTAGCAGCAGAAGCAAGGTAAGCATGATTTCTGTAACAGGGACAAGCCTAGAATAGTTATCAGAAGGTTTATCCCATAGGGATTCTTTGTAGTAACTAACTGATCATGGTGTCCCAACTCAAAAACAGATAGTGATCTCAGGATGAACTATTTTTGTCACTTCTCAATCTACATTCTTTCCCTATAAGACCTTATGATTTCAATTTCCATCTTTTCTAATAACTCATATGTCTCTTGAGTATGAGGAAATTTAAGAGGACCACTCAGAGAGTTTGTTGTGTTCCTGGATTTCAGGAATCACAAGGAAATGTATCAAACCCATGCCTGAAACAGCACAGAAAAGAGCAAGAGGCTGTGGGTGGGGCTGCTCAAGCACAGCAGAACAAAATGAGGGAAGCTATGTTGGAAATGACCTGCATGTTCACAGATGGTGGGGCAAATGCCTGCTTTCTGGGGACCAAATATAGATCCTTTGAGAGAAGCTATGCTGGTGTCATTTTTAAAAGTTCCAAATGAAGGGGNGCTCCAAATAAAGGTACCTCACCAGACAAATTTCAGGGGCTATAGGAAGACAGGCAATGTCTCCACCAAGAGAGCTGTAGTCAAGGTTCTCAGCACAAGGGTCTCTGAAAATACACATGGAAATAGGCCAGGGGGTAAAGAGCCAACAACTATGCATTTACCTGGTCCTGATGGACCAACCCCAGATGACCCTCTTGCCCTTCCTTATGGGACTGTGTTCTTTTATCCTGTCTCCTGTTCACCTGCAACCCCCTTTGGTGACATAGAGGTAATAGGATCATCATGCTCTTTCCACCAGTGCAGGCTTTCAGCAATAGGGGAGGGGGAAAGTCTTATGAAGTTGGAGTCTGAATTATTACAATGAACTGAATTTTTAATGACTGGCATGAGAATGTTCTTGTCACTATATAGGACTAGGAAAGTAATGGAGCTTGTCTAAGATTTTACTGGGATGGGAAGAGCAGAGTCACAGAGTGAGTTTAGTAAGGAGTGGTGAGAAAAAATAAGTTTGGGTTCAGATCATTCAGGATATCAGTTACATCTGTTAGAAATTTAATGATTCCAGTTTAAAAAGAGTAAGCAGATCTCTTCTTTCTAAGGGGAGCAATGAAGAAAGCAAGGCTCTGTACTTAACACTGAGTGCCCAGGGGCACATTCAGTCCTGGTCTAAGATTCCTGCGAAGATTCAGATGTCCTACCTTATGACTCCAGTGCAGGTATAATTCATACCCTTCCCGAAATACCAAAAGTGCAAGTATCTGAAAAAGCAAAGAAGAAAAAGGAGGTTATTTTGAAGTCACCAAGTTGTGGCCCACAGCACTGTTCTGTATTCAAATGCTTTTCACTACACTCACGTCTTGTTATACCTGCGTCCTTCAACCTCTGGGAGTTTGCCATGCTGTTTCTCTGCCTGAAAAGCTCCCCTTCCCCATGCCATTGACCTTCCAAATCCAGTTCACAGGTCACCTCCTGTTCGTAACTCTTACCAGCACCCCCAGGAACAATTATTATTTTCTCTGAAATTTCACAGCAAAGCCCCACGCTGATATCCTTCCTGAATTCCTACCAGTTTCTTTTCCCTGCATGAACCTTATTCCTGGTATTACTTAGACCCACTTGTAAGAGAACAGATGTCAGAGGACAGCACTTCCCAGGGTCATTTAAAAGCTCTTTCTTGAGGAACCAGTGTCGTTATTACAACTGTTCACCACTGTTGTTAACACTAGTGTTTAGTCAATAAATCTTAGATTTCAATGTAAATCTAGCCAGTCACCATGCCAGTGTAGAGAAAGAAAACTGAAAACTGGAGTCCTCAGATGCTAAGGATGTTACTAAGAGTTGGAATATATATGGCCCTTACCTTTTTATAAAAATAATTTTATGTATATGATTTCATTTCTTCTTTACCTAGCCCTATGAAATACCATTGTATTAAATATTATCAATCTCATCTCTAACAGAAGAAACTGAGTCTCAGGAAAGTTATATAACTTGACCAAAGTTACAAAGTAACCCAAATATAGAGCTAGAAATAGAACCTGAGGCTCCCTCTTTGTTCACTGTATCCATTGTATGTATCCACTAAAGATAGGGTAGAGTACGGTTTATTAAAATCTACTCATTATTCAACTGTAGAACACATTCCACCTTAGAAGCTAACTACAGCATTTCACGTTTATTGTGTATGAAAGCAGTACAATTCAGTGGCCAGAGTCTGGTCCAGACCACATAATTCAGCTGCATTTTCCCCCTCATAAAGAAAAGTGTCTAACCGGTCTCTCTGCCTATAGTCACCCTACACACCACAACTACCAGGATGATTTTCCTACAATAGATATCTAACTTATGTCAAGTGTCTTAGACTACTTTCCAGGCCTTGCAAAATCTGTCAGAAGCCTATCGTTTCAGCCATGTTCCCTATTATTCTTCATCATGCCCTTCATGCTAGCAGAACTGGCCTTTCCCCACTATATTGTCACACCCCATATTTTTCTATCTTGTCAACTTTGTTATGATGTTCCTTCAGCCTAGAATGTTCTCCTCCACCCCATATGCTCACATCCAAATCCAACATCCCTTCAAGATTCCACTCCAGGGCCGACTCTTCCAAGAAGCCTTACTTACTCCTCTTGGCAGATGTCACCTCTTCCTGCTCAGAATCCACACATCTTTATTTAAGTCTCTTTAATGAAAATTATAATGTTTTTCTTGTGTTAATTATTTTTTTCTATGATTGAAGTGTCCTACTATATTCTAAACTCATTGAATTAAGGGACTATTGTAACTTTTAATCTCATACATATCTCTTTGAAATGCCCTGCATAAAAACAGAAACTGCTTATGTGTTTTTTCTTTCTGTATACTCAGTACTTATCACTCATAATGATTAATACATTTTATTGAAAAAAAATTATTGTATTGCAAATGGCACCTGATTTGAGGGTTGGGTTTTTCTGTATCAGACAGGAAATCAGTAGGGGCAAAAAATAGCGATGTAAATGTATATGTCCTGTGTATACATGGGCACTAAAAAACTCTAAGTACCTAAATGTTGTCTTCCCATAAACTTTCCATTTCCACAGACCTTCCTCTTGCCTGGACTGAGTTTCTCCCCCTATAGAACAGTACTATGTAACAGAGACAGGGTCGCTATTGCCAAAAGACTTTTGTTAAAATTTAATTTGCACCTGAACTAGCTGACTAGCATTTGCACATTATGACAGGTTTAAAAAATTAGCTAATTTGTAAGGCTCAAAAAGACTGATTCTCAGGAGATGGGAAATAAAATGGGTTAGTTCAATATGTAAAGGTACTGCTAATGTGAAGCTGTGTGGGTGCCTAAAATAACAATATTGAGTGAACCATAAAATAGGCTTATGAAACAGGGGTAGAAAAAGGATGTTCTACACCCTTTCAAAGGGTCAAAGTGATAAGATGTATCCTCTAATTGCATAAGTCCACCTTTCTCCACTGATCCCTTGTGCCTAAAATTCAAGCAGTTGATGTAAACCCCAACTCTACTTAGACAAGAGTGATCTTAGGTTCCGAGGGCTCCCGGCACCACTGGGCACCATACCATAGACAGGAGCACCTCATGAGGCTGCTCAGGAAGGGAGTAGGAGAAATGGGGAACATTACTCACCAACAGCAAAGAAGTGTAGGCAACCAGGATTCCAAATAAACTCAGGAAAACACGGGACCAGAAGTACCAGGATCCTGTAACTACATAAAGAGCCCTGCAAAAACGTATTTCAATCCTTAAAATATAGCAGAAAGTAGTAGCGTCTGTGTCAAGGATGGGGGACAAGACTGGACTAGATGAGGCATAAGAAAACAAAGAGATAAGATGAGAAGCATTTTGGGAACATCTATGAAGAGCTTTGGGGATATTTAATTAAGCATTTTAACTTTTAACTTTGTACCATGGGCAATGGGATACCTTAATGTCGGTCTGTATAAGTGGTGTAATTTTTTAATATTATTTATTGAACAGACTGTCTTTACCCCACTGTATGTCCTTGCCTCCTTTGTCAAATATTAATTCACTATAAAGGCATGGGCTTCTTTTTGGGCTCTCTATTCTGTTTCATTGATTTAGTATAGTTCTATTGATGTCGTATAGTTTGATATCAGGTAGCCTGATTTGTCCAGCTTCATTGTTCTTTCTCAGGATTGTTGTGGCTGTTCAGGGTCTTTTGTGGTTCCATATAAATTTTTGAAATATTTGCTCTAGTTCTGTGAAATATGCCATTGATATCTTGATTGGAATTGTGTTGAATCTATAGATTGCTCTGGATATTATGGACATTTTAATGATGTTAATTCTTCCTACTATGAACACGGTATATGCTTCCACTTATTTGTATCTTCTTTAATTTCTTTCTTCAATGTCATATAATTTTCTGAGTAGAGATCCTTTATTTCCTTGGTTAAATTTATTCTGAGGTATTTTTTTGAAGCAATTGTAAATGAGACTGTTTTCTTAGTTTCCCTTTTTGATAGTTTGTTATTGGTATATAAAAATGCAACTGGCCCGGCCAGGCGTGGCTCAGGGGTTGAGCATCGACCTAGGATCCAGGCAATCGGGGTTCGATTCCCAGTCAGGGCACATGCCCAGGTTGGGGGCTCCATCCCCAATGACTCTCTCATCATTGGTGTTTCTCTCTCTCCCTCTGCTGCCCTCTCTCTGAAATCAATAAAGA